TATTATCCTGTATGGCTTGGTTAAATGAGACTGGATAATTATCAATGCTCAAGTCACTTTCATGCTCAAGTGCATAAACAATATAGTCATTAGGAATGGCTGATCTTTTCTATCTAGTAGATCTACTTAATGCCACTTCCTGCTGAGATTTCACTTGATCATCATCTAGAGTTTCAACCTCATCTTCATTTACAATATCTTCCTCATGTGGAATTTGAGCATCTAGTTGTTGTTGTTCCAAAGTATTTCCATAAGGCTACACTGCACTGCAGCAATAGGAACAACAACAGGAAAAAGGATCACTTGATGAATCTGGAACCATCAATGACTCCTTAATCTCAACATTACGAGCTCCCACACTCCCACTGACTTCGCCATTTTAAATGAAGCGAGCATCACCAGACTCAACAATCCTCGTACTTATGATTAGGACAATAAACATGTACCCTTTAGACCTTTCTGGATATCCAATGAAATAACCACTAATGGTTCTGGATTCCAATTTATTTTCATGTGGATTATATATCCTCACTCCAGCTTGACAGCCCCAAATGTGAAGATGCCTCAAACTAGGTTTCCTTCTTGTCCACAGTTCATAAGGTGTTTTAAAAACAACGTTACTAGGAACCCTATTGAGTAAGTATGTTGTTGTCGTTAATGCATATATCCACAATGAAACAGGCAATGTACAATTATTTACCTTACTCTTAACCATTTCCCTTAGAGTACGATTTCACCTTTCTTCCACACCATTTTGATGTGGTGTGCCTAGCATTGTGTATAATGCACAAATTCCCTTAGATTCGAGGAATTTCTTTAAATGTGCTGAGAATTTGCCCAACTTTTGATGTTTTCCCATAATACTCATCACCTTTATATGATCTAGTTGTCTTTACCTTTCTATTTAACTGACTCTCAACTTCAAATATAAATGTCTCTGGGACATCCACAGACTGAGATCTTTCACGCAGTAAATAGATGTAACAGTACCCAGAATGATCATCAATAAAGGTAATAAAGTATTTATCACCGCTCCAAGACGGATCATCAAAAGAGACCACAGATATCTGTATGTATTAAATCAAGTAATCATGAGCTTCTTGTGGCTGAGTGTACTGATACATGTCTGACTTGCTTTACCTTTATGCAATCGACACATGCATCATTCCAGTCAGTAAAATCCAATTGAGACAAAAATCCAACTTTAATAAGTCTCAATATTCTTTCTTTGGATATATGACTAAGCCTTTTTATGCCACAAGTCAGCTGAAGATTCTTTTGGTGCACTTCTTTTAACACAAACATCACATTAAACAAGGAATTAACAAAGTCATCATTAAGATTGAAACAGTATAGTGTATCCAACAAAACACCAGAACCATAAAGGTTTTTGTTGATACAAACATTTGTTTCCAATCTTAAAGTAAAAACTCAATGTTTCCAACTTAGCTGTTGAAACAAGATTTCTAGAACAATTTGGAACATACAGACAATTCTCAAGATCAAGGCAAAAACTTGTATCCAGCTTAATTCTGTAAGTTCCAATACCTTCAATTCTAGCTTTCATCATGTTTCCCATGAAAAAGACACTTTTCATTTTCCCTTTGAGGTTGAACACTACAAGAAAAATGCACATAGACAACACTAGAAAGACAACAGTTTTTAAGAAAAGTGTTGTCTTTTGTATAAAAGACAACAGTTTGGTCCAAAACCGTTGTCTTTGATGCAACACTTTTGTCAAAGACAACGGTTTTTACTTAACCGTTGTTATAAGTGTGTTGTCTTTGTGCATTTTGTGAAAAGACAACACCACAACGACAACGGTTTTTAAAAACGGTTTTTAAAAACCGTTGTCTATGTGCGTTTTTTTTTAAATAAGACAACGGTTTTTTTAACTGTTGTCGTTGGTGTGTTGTCTTTAAGCGGACTGGAATACACAACACTAGAAAGACAACGGTTTTAAACAACCGTTGTCTTTGTGCGCTCTTTTTAAAAAAATAGACAACGGTTTTATTTAACCGTTGTCGTTGGTGTGTTGTCGTTAAGCGCACTCGAATACACAACACTAAAACAACAACGGTTTTGTATAACCGTTGTCTTTGCATGTTCTTTATTTGTTTAAGACAACGGTTTTATTTAACCGTTGTCTTTGATATGTTGTCTTTAAGTGTATTTGAATACACAACACTATAAAGACAACGGTTTTAAAAAACCGTTGTCGTTGCGCATCATTATATAACATGTATATAAAATAAAAACAAAGAAGTTAACTAGAAAAATCAAACCTATGACCTCGTGCTTAACAAATACAAGGTTTTACCAACTACACAACACAAACTTTTATATCTTAGGGTGCAACATGTGGTATATAACTGGGTTTCTTCTGTGTTGTTTGTGAAAACCAAGACAACTACTTTAGATGATAATAGTTAAAGAATTCCCCCCAGGAAGAATAGAACATAAGACCTCTAACATAATAAACTAAGCTAAACCCACCAAGCTACTGCAACACTTACGTATTTAAACGCAACATCTAGTATATTACCAAAATAGCTCTATTTTCGTTCATATTTAATTAAATATAAAATTATTCACCAAAATTTCAAAGTAAATTCATTAAAGTTTTATTTTCAATTATATTACAATAAAGGCCAATCTATGAATTCAAAATAATAATAATAATTATCAAGTATAAAAAAAATATGGGGTGGTGTTCACCCCCTCCCCCAATATAGACTTATCACAATTATCATCCCATTTTTTTTATCACGAGCAATAGTGTCAATCAATTCATTTTTGTCACAAAAAAGTTATTATTTATGAAATCACAAATTTTTGTCAAAAAAAATCTATTATTTATGACGAAATTATAGAGTGTCACAATTTTTTTTCATTAAATGTCCTAATTTTTGCAGTGAGTCTCCAGTCAAAATTATTTGGTTGAGTAATATCTCATTTTGAGTCCTATATTCTCTTTAGAAAATTCTCTCTTAATTTTCAGCTTTATCATTTCATTAATGTATTGGATTCCTTTTTATATTTGATTACTATCTATTTTTAAAATTTTAGTGTATCGAGATTCATGATAGAGGAAAATGTCAAGTTTAATTTACTTGAATAAAATTTTACTTTCATCACATGTCTTGATCTTATTAAAGGTATTATTAAAGGCAGTGAAGAATACATATGCCAATCAATGAGGTTCATGTTATTGGGAAGTATAAATAAAATCATTAAAAAAGTGAAGTAAATGTATACATATTTTTACTTAAAATAGATAAAACCGACAAAGTTAAAAACAATCGAAATTATGTTAGGAACATTGTATTAGGATTTTGATGATACCAATGTAATGTAGAAAGTAGACCCCTAACTATTTACTTTTTCGATTGCTACTTTCGTCCTAGACGAGAGTTGCCATAACTTCCCTGTAATTTGTGTTAAGCTAGACAAACACACAAAAATGAGTTATGTCTAGTTTATAGGGTCTCCAAGACGAAAGAAGACACAAGGCGTGATGAACAGCAACGAGAACTAATCAGGAGTTGTCAACTATCTCGAAAGGACAGATTTATTAAAGACAATTCTCACCAAGCACTCTTTCTCTTCAACAACGAGAAGAATGTTTTATCTGTCTGACTCGACAACATCCTAGGAATATAAGGACCTCAACTTTTGGAACACGTTTACCAAGGAGCATTAAATGAAGATGTACCATCTCCTGGAGCTAAAGGACAAAAACCCTAATGCTCTCCATACCTTCAACAGCTACATGGTACAACCTCATTAATGGAGCATTTAATGCATGAAGCTCCCAGGCCCTTATCCACTGGATAAAAGGTTCGAAATTTCATCTCCCTCCAACGGATGAATTTTCATCACCTATATAAACCCACCTTCATCAACTAAGAAGGTGCTGGTTCAACTTTCACTCGATCTATATACTTGCAAAAGCTCTTAAACGCTCTCAGTTCTCTCAAGCTTTTGTGAACCAGTGTTAAGGTGCTAAGATATTTGAAGAAGTTCATTGATCATCATCTTACACCTTAAGGAAGTCTTGCCATTTGTACGAAGAAATCATCTCACACAATCAAGACTTCATCAAGTTGGAGAAATCAGAAATCATTTTCTACCAACCTCAACTCTGAAGAAGAAGTTGATAGAGGCGGAGTAAACTCGGGGAGTTGAAAAACCTACGAAGGTTGTCCGGCTTAGTGATCAAGGAAGTCTTTGTGTAATTGTACTAACGAGTGATAGTGCAATCCTTCCATAAGTTATGGAAGAAGAGTGGAGTAGGCAACGTTAGCCGAACCACTATAAAATCTCTTGTCCCTTTATCTCTTTACTTACGCATTTCATTTCTGCATCATATTGTCCTCATCATCATTACCGAAAGTTCTCTTTTTAACGTAAACTCGTGCAAAGTAAATAATCGAATCTGACATATCCGCTGCGCCAAACCACCGAAAGGTGATTTTTGGGGTAAAACACGAAAAGAGTCTATTCACCCCCCCCCCCCCCTCTAGATTCTCACTACACTCTATCGGGACCAACAACTGGTATCAGAGCCAAATACCTTGAACGGTAAAGGCTTTGCTTTTACTGCCTGGTAGATCCCCTATCAAAATTCTGAAAAACTGCATATTTTTCAACTCTGCACGAATTTTTGTAAAATGGAAAAGGATCATGCTAACCGCTCTAAGCAACTTGTTTTTAGTCTTGCTAAATTTGATGATTGGAAGATAAGAATGCAGGCACTCCTCTGCTCCATACATGACGAAATGTGGGACGTCATAACAACTGGACCAATTACGGTTATGATGGCGAATACACAAGCAGCAGCTCAAGGAGCCAATGCTGAGCAAATGATACCGAAGCCAAAAGATTCATACAACTCGGAATAAAGGACAAGAGCAAACCTGGATAACGTAGCACGGAATATCCTCTACAACTCCCTTGATGACTCCTTGTTCCCAAGAGTCCGAAAGTGCAAGAATGCCATGGAAATATGGAATGTTTTTATGGAACTAGGAGAAGGGGATGAGCAGGAGAAAGACAACAAACTGACTGTAGCCATGAAGAAGTTTGAACATTTCAAGATGCTTCCAAATGAGACAATCATGGACATGGAGCTGAGATTCACCAGACTCATGGGAGATCTGACTAATCTCGGGAAGGAATTGACCGAGAAAGAAAGGAATCTAAAAATTCTTCGTGGCCTGCCAAAATCTTGGGAAATGAAGGTCATTGCAATGAGGGACAATCGAGACATGAAAACAACGAGCACGGCCAAGATCTTTAGTGATCTCAAAGCATATGAGTTCGAACATGACCCGAAAGATGCCGAAGAATCTGAAACGAGAAATATCGCTCTCATGGCCAACCAATCAGCATCAACATCCAACAGGTCGAAATCTAACTCTTGTGATTTTTTATCTGATGAACAATATGCACTATTTGTAAGGAAAATGAAAAGGTTCATAAGGAAGAACAACTTTCAAGACTCTCATCGTTCGGGTCACCGAAAGCAACACGAAAGTTCTCTTCAAACCTCAAAGGCAGAAACCACAGACTCGCAACTGTTGTGCTACAATTGTCGAAAACCAGGACATTTTAAGGCCAATTGTCCTCATCCAATAGTGAGCAAGCATCAAGATAGTAACACTACCAAAAGCCCATCCAAGGAGACTGGAGAAAGATACAAAAGAAATGACAAGCCAGAATCATCAGGCTCCAGAAACGAGAGAAGAAGGAAGGCAATGGTAGTGAACGAAACCTCTGACACAGTTGTGAACGAAAGTAGCTCCTCAAGCTCGAGTTCAGACATCGAAAGTTCTGAAGAAGAAAAAGGACTCCTATGCCTTTTCAGTCAGGAATCAGAAGATCTATGCCTTATGGCTGACGAAGATGAGGTAAACTCTCATTCATCTTCTTGTTATTCAGCTGAGTCAAGTTCTGTAGAGAGTCAAACCTCCAATGAATCGGTTACCGAAATGATGAGGAGGTTCAAAGTGATAAATAACACATACTCCAAACTTAAGGAGGAGAACTCTCGGCTCATGATTAGCTACAATGCGCTAAGGCAAGTTTGAATTGAGAACATTATGCTATCCATTGCTAAGGAGCAACTTGAGAAAAATGTTCTCACTCTGAAGGAGCAGTGCACAGCAAGAGAAAGGAGAGAACAAGAATTGCTTGAAGTATTGGACAAATTCAATAATTCATCCAATCTAATGGATCGAATGATAAATGACTCCAGACTGCCCGGGGAAAGAACGGGAATTGGTTTTAACCCCAGCTCCTCCTCACAAACCTGCTTGAACAAATCCACGAATGCATATTCACACGAAGGCTTTCAAGCTGCATTTGTTCAAGGACCAACCCAGGTGTCTGAGCCAATGACGAAAGTTAACAACGATGCCATACCACAATCAACAAGCTTACCGAAAAGAAAGGCTGTACAACGAATTGTGGATCATCGAAATGAAAAATCTTACAAAGGCAATCCTAGACAAAAATATGTCAAAAGGAATGGACCAAATGGAAACAGACAGAATCTACACCATAAGAAAGGTCAGCCTGCTAAGAATATTCAATCAAGGAAAAGGCCGAATGTTGACCAGAGGCAATATTGTCCTAAAACAATACAAGAGAATCCTGATCAAGGAAACCCGAAAAATGGACGAATCAGACAACCCGAAAGATCCTTCATAAGATCTGGGTAGGGCAATGGATGGACTAGGCCATCAGAAGAAGATTGGTATGATTACCAAGAACCTCTGTCCAAAGTAGAACTACAAAGGATTCATCTACGTAAATAAACTAATCATCTCAAGTATTATGAAAATCCTCCTCAGGAATATCTTTGGAAAATATATAATGCTAAAGTCTTTGCCAGCATACATTATAATTATCGCACATCTAATGGGTATAGAGGACCAAGGATGAATCGTGGACACTCTAGGTTGATGTGGGTTCCAAAGTTGACAGCTAACCCTCAAAGACCCGAAATTCAAGGGGTACCTAAAAACATATAATCTTTGCTGCAGGAAAAACAAGTCATATGGTATGTTGACAGTGGATGCTCAAGACATATGACTGGTGATAAAACAATGCTGAGCAACTTCGTAGAAATAGATAGACCTAAAGTTATCTTTGGAGGAGAAAACATGGCAAAACTCGTGGAAAGGGAGACATTATCAAAAAGGGAATAACAATACAAGATGTGTCTTATGTTGAAGGGCTAAAGTTCAACCTTCTAAGCACAAGTCAATTCTGTGACAAAGGATATAAAGTTGAATTTTCCAAGGACGAGTGTAAAATCGTGAACACGAAGAATGGCGAGACAACTTTAACTGGCCAACGAAAGAAGAACATGTACGTAATATCGTTGATTTCTTCTAACACTAACGTTTGTTTTGTGGCCAAAAGTAATGCCGATCTTAATCAAGAATGGCACAATAAACTTAGCCATCTCAACCTAAAGACAATCAGCAAACTCGCCAAAATAAATCTCGTGAGATGGCTGCCCGAAGCATCATACACGAAAGATAAAATATGCGAGGCATGTCAAAAGGGAAAACAATTCAAGTCATCCTTTAAATCGAAAGATGTGGAGGCAAACTCTCGATCTCTAAGCCTTCTACATATGGATCTCTTTGGACCAGTTGACCCAGCAAGTTTGAGTGGAAGAAAGTATACTCTTGTTGTAGTAGATGACTACATGAGAAATACTTGGGTGACCTTCTTGAAGAAGAAGAATGAGACAGAAACAGTTCTTCCAAATCTCTTAAGACAACTTCAAACAGAAAAGGAGGTCAAAATCATTCGAATCAGAACCTTGAAAGAAGCTGCACGAACAATGATCTCGTATTCAGGTCTACCAAAGAGATTTTGGGCCGAAGCTGTAAATACGGCATGCTACACACAAAACAGATCCCTGTTCAACAAATCTCACAACAAAACACCATATGAACTATGGAAAGGTAAAATACCTAGTATTGGTTATTTTCATGTCTTTGGTTGCAGGTGTTTCATACACAACAACGGAAAGAGTCATTTAATGACCTTTGACGAAAGAGCTGATGAAGGACTGTTCATGGGATATTCCTCAGTAAGCAAAGCTTTTAGAATTCTAAATAAACGAACGATGATAATTGAGGAATCCATTCATGTTAAATTTGATGAACAATCTGAGAAAAATCCATCCGACATCAAAACGTCAAATAATTCGAGTCAAAACCCTCAACAACGTGTCGATGAAGAAATTTCAAACGAAGAAGATATACTATCGTCCTACACAAAATATCAGCTAAAGGTTTCTGAACCCGAACCTACAACTCAAGAAAATGTCACATCTCAACAAAACAATCCTGTCAGTACCGCAACATCTGAACCAATGATCTATATTGATCTACCATATATTCCTGAAATGGATGTTCAAAATCAAAAAAATACATTCGAACTTGATCTTAGGTGGTTAAGAGATCACCCACCTGATCAAGTAATAGGAAATGTCCAAGAAGGTGTACGAACAAGAGCCTCCTTACACGAAAGCATGATGGCATGCTTCTTATCTCAAATGGAACCAAAATCCATAGAAGAAGCCCTAAGTGACCCTAACTGGGTAATAGCCATGCAAGAAGAGCTCCATCAGTTTGAACGTAATGAAGTATGGGAACTTGTGTCGAGACCAACTCATCAGAATGTCATAGGAACAAAATGGGTCTTCAGGAACAAAATGAGTGAAGATGGGCTCATTGTTCGGAACAAAGCTCGTCTTGTTGCTAAGGGGTATTGTCAAGAAGAAGGAATTGATTTTGATGAAACCTTCGCCCCCGTAGCTAGACTGGAGGCCATACGAATATTTCTGGCCTTTGCAGCTCATAAAAACTTCAGAGTCTATCAAATGGATGTCAAGAGTGCTTTCTTAAATGGACTTCTAGAAGAGGAAGTATATGTTGAGCAACCACCTAGCTTTGCAATTGATAATGAGCATGAAAAGGTCTATCATCTCAAAAAGGCTCTTTATGGATTAAAACAAGCTCCACGGGCTTGGTATGATACACTCTCACACTTTCTCATAAATTGTGGTTTTATGAAAGGAGCCGTGGACAAAACACTCTTTCGTATCAAAGACAATGATCACATTCTTCTTGTACAAATCTATGTTGATGACATTATTTTCGGGAGCACGAACCCCGAGCTATGTGAAAAGTTCTCAACACTCATGCAAGGCAAGTTTGAAATGAGCATGATGGGAGAACTCAACTACTTTCTGGGATTGCAAGTAAAGCAATGCTCAAATGGAATCTTTATAAGTCAAGCCAAATACACTAAGGATCTAATTCAAAAATTTGGCATCGATGGGAAAACATTTGTTTAAATTCCTATGAGCACATCCCTTAGAATGGATATTGACAACAAAGGAAAAGATGTGGATCAGAAAAACTTTCGTGGCATTATTGGTTCTCTTCTATACCTAACAACAAGCAGACCTGACATTTCGTTTGTTGTTGGTGTATGTGCAAGATTTCAAGCGAAACCAAAAGAAAGTCACTTAAGTGCCACTAAAAAGATCTTAAGATACCTTAAAGGGACACAAAGTGTTGGACTTTGGTACCCGAAAGAAGGATCTTTCAATCTTGTTGGCTATTCAGATGCCGACTTTGCAGGATGCCGAATCGATAGAAAAAGCACCTCAGGAACCTGCCAGTTCCTAGGGGGAAGACTCGTGTCATGGTTCAGCAAGAAACAACATTCTATTGCCACTAGTACGGCTGAAGCCGAATACATAGCGGCTGGGAGCTGCTGTGCTCAAATTTTATGGATGACACATCAATTAAAGGATTATGGTATTAATGCACGAGAAGTAAGCATCAAACGCGATAACACGAGTCAATTGCCATTACACAAAATCCCGTCTTTCACTCACGAACTAAGCATATTGATATCAAATATCATTTTATTCGTGATCATGTCGAGAGGAAAGATATATCTCTTGAGTATGTTAACACTGATGATCAACTTGCGGACATACTCACGAAACCCTTAAGTGAAACAAGATTCTCCTCTCTAAGGCATGAAATTGGAATGATTGAAATGACATAAAGAGTGAGAATCAAATCTGCAAAGATTCTCCTTTTTCGATATTCAAAAGATTCGATCCATCTTCACACGCAAAGATCTCTATAAAATGAGGTACACGATGAAATTAAGCCTTCATAACTAACAAAATTTTCTAGTGTTTGTCTTTGTGTACAGACATGAGTACAGGAAGCGAGAGAACAATCACTGAGGTACAAGAGGAGAAAAGCGAAATCTTCAATGATCCACTTGTGACCAAGTAGGAGTTAAACAAATTTCTTGAACATTCTCAATACATACAGAGCATTCTCCGTTACCCAATGGAAAATGAGTCGAGGGAGTCATTCCACTCTGTTAGCAACCCTATAGGGTATGTCAAGGAAGACAGTGTGCTGGAACGAAGTGATAGCTTTGACTACTCACCCTCGAGCACCCCTCCTAAGATGCCATCTCCTCTCAAATCCACCGCAAGCAGCAAGAAAAAGAAGGCCTAAATGAAATTATCGGGCCACAGTGATAAGTTGTGATGTTGTTATCTTCAAAATGATACGTTTCTCTAATAAATAACTTAATCTCTCTACTTATCTCTGATAGCGTGACTAACATGAAACGTGAATCAGTGTCTAAAATATTTTAGCAAGTTCTACACGCTAACATTATGCCTATATAATGATTTCTCTCTTCATAAGTTTCACTCACACTCAGCCCCTAGAAAAGGAAAAAGCTTGCAGGATGGATAAGGGTAAAGAGAAAATGGAAGATGCAGAAATTCGAGCTATTCATCATCTTCAAGAAGCAGGCAAACTGACAAATGCCACAATAACAAAGATTGTAGAAGATGGTGATAAGGTCCATGTAACGTTCACCATGCCAAACTCGGCCTCTCCAAAAGATGAAGCCGAAAGAAGGGCCATTCGCCTAAAACAAAATCTCCAGAAAGCAAGTTTTCCCAATGCTACGATTATCAAGCTGGAGGAAGACGGTGAAAGGGTCAATGTGACATACTCCATGCCCAACACAGCAAATCCTAAGGAAAAGGAGGCACTAGACACGTTGTCAATGAATCTAGGGCGAAAAAGGCATATTACTTGGAACAAGCCAACCGGCTTGCCAACGAAAGAATAAGGATGATGAAGAGCGTTAACAAGCACTCAACAAATCCACCTAACTTTCGTTGGTACCCTATCCCTGAAGTTCCACAACAAAGTGATCAATCCTATGAGGACTTCACCTTGGTTCACTCTCAGTCACCTTTCAACCCGGACATGCCTACCCTCACACTTGACGAACTAGACGAATATTCAAACAGGGCCAATCTGAATGATGTGACTGATGAGTTAACTCGCCTGGAACTTCACGTGCCCTACCGCTTTATCTGAATATTATGTGTCTTCTTTGTATGGTTTGGAGTACCTCTGCACGAATCTCTCTAATGAAGTTTCCATTTTATTTGTGCCCTTACTAAATTACTCTCTTGACCTTGCTTCTTTTATGTCATATTATGTCTCTCAGGTCAAAGATGGAATTATGTCTTAAAACATCATACATGAGTTGATTACTAATTCACACATCTTGAAATCATATCTCTGACCCTGAAATTATGACATTCTTGAAAATGTCCAGTCAAAGTCTTCCACTCCATTAATGGTCAGTTGAAGAAATACATGGTCATTGATTGCAGCATTGAAAACTGAGAGCAGTTTCACAACGTTATCTCTTCCAAATCTGCCTATAAAAGGGGGACTATATCTGGCTTCACTCTACCATTCTAATCCTCACAAATGGCCCCTAAAAATCCCTTCACAAGGGGAGATTCCAACAAACTCCGAGACCTCGCAAGGCAAATAAGACAAGAGCAAGGAGACTTGTATCCAGGCAATAGCCTTCAAGCACCATTGGAAATCTCATCGGATACTGAAGAGTCATCCCTGTATGACGATATGGCTGGGTTCATTGTTGAAGAGCCCGACGAAAACCCTCAGAGAGAAGCTATTTCATCCCTCCCAAAATCTCCTAAGGATCTCAGCAAGTACCGCGATCCAGACTACATGACTTATCTGCAGAAAGAGCTGGAAAATGAGGCAAAGGCTAAGGGGGAAGAACCTGAATCATCTTCGGGTTCCAACTATCCTCGTACCGGAAAATGGTACAAGCGTATGTGGGGAGATCTGAAGAAGGCAAAAGCTGAAGCATCTGAGGTCAAGAAAATTGAGAGAAAGAAAAACTAATCCTTCGGATTATGTATTTTATGCTTTGTACTGCCATCTCTCGTTTTTATGAATAATAAAATCTCGTGTCTTTGCTTTTCTTAAAAGAAGTGAACGAAACTTTACTTATCTCGTTCACATCTATCTGAGGCTATCCCGAATCAAGGACAACTTCTTGGAAATGAATTTGTTCGGGACATATCTTTAAAGACAAACGGCTCTCTACCTTATGGATTCTCTTACCGATAATGAAATCCGAAAGGAGCTTTGAAAGATCGCTCGGAAGGAGAGGACTGGGATTTCCCCGATATTAAATCTCTCGGGAAATGTATTCTCTTAAGATGATGAGAGATTTGTTTGACTTTATTTGTCCTACAAATCTTGCATTATGACAAATTCATCCTCCTTCGGGTTAGAACCGTGCAAGATAAACCTCATTTGCCTCTGTCTCATTTGAACCGTCAGATAGTTCATCATGGGGATCGTGTGGCCAAGAAATACGGTCCACTACTCCACCATGACTGACACATAAATTGACGTGCATTAAATGCACTCACATATACTCGAGTACCTTTCTCTCTCCGCATTAAATATGGAATGATCAAATTTGATCTGCACACGATCTTATCACTCCCCCATGGTCTGATCAGTTACCATATGAAGAAGAGGAGGCGGTTAATCTTTTGAAATTCCACTAACCCACCTTCACATGGGTTACCCATATTCAGTTACCCGGAACCACATAAAACCCTACTTGAATCCACTTCGCATCATACCTTGTCTTTTTCATCTTCTCCCAAACAAAGCTACTAGCCTTACTCTCTCAGACACTCTACAATGGCAGAAAATACACAAGCTACATCATCTGAAAAGGAACCAGAAAACCCTTCTACATTGGAAATCCCAAGCTTTCCAACCGAAAACATGCGATTTATTGAATCCAGAGTTCCATTTATTGTTGGAGGCAGCATGTGGGATCCCCATGGATTTCTGGAGTACGTGTTGGATCGAAAATTTGGCGAAGATATCATTCGATTGCTCATGAAATCCGGTTTGTACAGGTTCATTACACATCTCTACACCATATGGTATCCCATCGATGTAACGCAATTCTACATGAATGCATCCATATCCACCGACTCCCTGACCATCTCTTCCAGAGTCCACAATCATCTAGTGGTTCTCACCTCGGAAGATATTCGAACCACCTACGGGTTTCCACAGAGGGATGAATCTTACAAGTCCAACCTTACCTATTACCACTACGATCCAGAAGAGTTCTATGATTCTATCAAGAACAAACAAGCCCCTTCAAAGACAGAAATCACATGGCCATTAAAGAAGAAGTGGTTCAAGCTGGATTATGACTTTACAGTTGACATCTTCAACAAGATTGTTGATCATAAGACTTCAGGCACCGATGATGTGACAAAGGAGAAACTAAAGATGCTGCATGCCTTTTTGAACGAACTTAAGGTTGACTGGTCGAAGATTATTTTCAACAATCTCGTTCACACCATCACCTACCACAGGAAAACTCCAGGAGACATCGCCAAGAAGCTAGGGTATGGTTTTATGGTAAGTCATCTTCTTGTCACTAAAGGAGTCCTAATGCGACCAGGCATACGGCCAGGACAGAAAGCTTGTCACATGAAGCAGAAACCATCTGGTTATGACAAGCAGAAAGCACTGGAGCTGGGCATTCCCATTGAGTTAGTTAAAGGCAAACGAAAGTCAAGAACGCCAAAGGCATCCGAAGATGATCAACCCAAGCCAAAACGATAAAGGAAAGAAAAACGCTCCTCTCGGGAAAAGATGATGAACAACCATTGCAAACCCCTCCAAAATCTCCTCAAGTGCAAAAAGATCCAACCCCACCTACTCCACCACCGGAGACAATAGTTGTGAAAAACTCATCCAAAGAAGATAATCTGATTCTGTCAAAACTTGGCAGAAAGGGTCACTTTCGTTCTCCTGTCAAACCAAGGCATTCCCCGAAGAAAGATACTACACCGAAAGTAGTAGACACGAGAGAAGCACCTCCTCAGGGGGAAGTGAGCACGAAAGAAGCACCTCTCCAGGGGGAAGATCAACCAAGAGTTATCTCACTAGAAAGACCTTCTGATCATCAAGTACCAGAACTTGGTCACATCTCCTCTCCTGTCCCCCATCCACAAGAACTTACTTTGGCAGAACAACTTCCTCAAGGGTTGACACAAGAACATGCTGATGTAGAAATGGAGGCCAGTCGCTTAAATCTTCCACAAGAACCTGGTTCGCCAGAAAAGACGAAAGAAGTGACTGATGCAATGATTGATGTTTCGTCTCAGCCACAAGAACCTACCAATGCAGAGCAGGTAATTCTGACACAAGAACCTGGGTTGGTAGACGCGAAAGCTGTGGTGCCAATAGCAACTCCAGTTATTCCGAAAGTACCAGCACCAGCTCCCAAAACAATTGTTCCCCACTATAACCAGATCAAGTGCTCCGAGAATCCATTGAAAGTGATTATCAACGAGTTTTGCAGTGGCAAAAGTGGCGCATAGCTCCCTTAAGTACATTCGTTGAAACTTTTGAAGCGATGCAAGACGAAGAACAATTTGCCCTAAAGTGGATTGGTACAGATAATGTCTACAAAGCACTTCGTCTTGAAGAAATAAGACGAGTGTTCTCCTACAAGATGACCAATCGCACTCTTGGAAAAGACAGCTCCAATCTGTATTGAACTTAACAAACCACCGTTGGATCCATCTTTTGAAGAAGAAATGAAGCAACTTCGATATGCCTTGCTGCTATCGAAAGTCAAAACCTCTTTAGAGAAAGAACACCGGAATGATCCAAACTGCAATGTCAGTGGCTCAAAAGATGAGCATGGACGAGAAATTGAGGAAGACGAAAGTAATGAGGAAGATGAAGATAATGATGACGATGATGTCGAAGATGCAGATGATGAGCATGATGATGATGATGACGATGACAATGATGATAATCTGGGCAATGTAAGATTCCAAGGAGATGATCCGGCCTATGACAGTGATCCAATATTAATCGGCCCTGATTATGATACCTTTCCTCAAAGATCTCCACTTAGAAAGTTGCCCTCTGACAGCGATGACACGAAGGAAGATTCACACCAAGCCCAACAGATTTCAAATGAACATCCCGAAGATATGTCTCGTGCAATTGTACCGCATATTCCACACATGGATGAGACTTCAATCAAGCGTGAAGAAGCAACTGAGGGAAAAATGGAAGCCTCACCTATCCTCCTCAGCTCAGCAAGTGGTGGAAAAAGGGAAGCACCACCTCAAGATGAACACATGGACACTTCACAAACAAACATTGAAGAAGAATCACCTCCAGAGTCCCCACGGACCATCACGAATCAAATGAGGGAAACTGTTCATACAGCCGAGAACGTTCACTTGCAATATTTGGTTCTTCGGCAAAAAGACACGAAAGTACTGGATGACTTATGCAAGAAGGTAGATCTCCTAATGGCTGCACAATCTCAATCTCGGCCTCCTCCTCCAGAACAGCCTCAACCGCCTTAACAAACTCAATCTGATCGACAGTTCCTTGAGAGGATTGCAAAAACCCTTCATGAGCTTAATACCTTCGTTAACAAAATTGCACGGCAGCAACACGAACTCAAGCACTCTCACTTTAGTCTCAAAGAACGTGTTGATTTGGCATGCATGAAGATAGACACCTCACAAGATAATTCCTACCAACTGGGAGAATATGCTCTTCAGATTCTTGGATATACCCAGGACATATTGGTTACAGTGAGTAAGCTTTCCACTATTCCTCCTACCACCTGTGCCGATGATGCCTAAAGGGGGGAAAAGAGAGACAACGACGACAAGGATAAGGATGATGAACATCCGAGAGATAACATGAAAGATCCGTCTCCAAGAGAAACTCCAAAAGCACGACACTCTCCTTCTCGGACACCAAGAGACTCTGGCCGAAGAAACACAAATCCGTCCCATCCACCATCCAGGTCTCGTGGTCACCATTTCTCACAGCGAAGATACCATGGTAGATATCAATCCAGATCACTCAAGCCTCACCAATCTTTTGGATCTGAAACCAAATACATTTTCACAGGTCTCTCCAAGAGAGAACAGACGAATCTGAGGCAGAGACTCATGAAGAACAACAAAGTAACTATGGATGGCATAGGAAACTTTGTGGATTTTGTACCCTATGAAGAAGGAAGTGGTAAACGTTTTGAGGGTTGCAACGTTCCTGTCTGGCTCAAGACAAAGGATAATCATACAAGGCAAGATCACATAAGCACCCAAAACGAAAGGATCAAAAGAGAAAACAGAGAGTTATGGAAGAAACATGAAGAAGAAGTCTAAAGAAGAGAGGATGAAGCAAAGGAAAGAGAAAGAATAAAGAAGCTGATTGAAGATTTTTCAAATGTAACCAAAGACTCTCCACAAGGTGTCATTCACAATGCAGCTTTCAAAGTGCACACTGAGTCGGGAAAGAGCTATCAAGAAGGAATGAACTCGTTTGAACTGATCTCGTGGTGGAAAGCAGGAATAGTCGAAGGAAGAAAAATTCGTGAAGCCTACAACAACTACACAAGTCTGAACATCAAAGGAAAACATGAAGTTCTTGTCAAGACAAATCCAATAAAGGTCTTCAGAAAAAGGATTAATGAGGAAATCGACTTCACCAGAATGCTCAAACAACAAAAGGAAAGGGATGACCGTGAACATAAGGAAGCTGAACAGCAGAAGTCAAAACTCTTGGAATTGTAAGATATCCTTTCATTCTGCTTTCATTATAAAATTTTTGTAAGTTTCACCATCTTAATATGAAACTCTCATTGTCACACATCTCGTGTCACTTGTCTGAGTTATTTGTCCTTGTCTTATTTATTAATGCTTTCATCCTAGAAAAGACTTGTACACTCTCGAGTATGGCTGCTTTTATAATAGAAAAATTATTTATGGAACTTTTATCAGCCTTATAAGAAGAGTATAGATTTTGGCATCATCAAAAAGGGGGAAATTGTTAGGAACCTTGTATTAGGATTTTGATGATACCAATGTAATGTAGAAAGTAGACCCCTAACTATTTACTTTTTCGATTGCTACTTTCGTCCTAAACGAGAGTTGCCATAACTCCCCTGTAATTCGTGTTAAGCTAGACAAACACACGAAAATGAGTTATGTCTAGTTTATAGGGTCTCCAAGACGAAAGAAGACACAAGGCGTGATGAACAGCAACGAGAACTAATCAGGAGTTGTCAACTATCTCGAAAGGACAGATTTATTAAAGACAATTCTCACCAAGCACTCTTTCTCTTCAACAATGAGAAGAATGTTTTATCTGTCTGACTCGACAACATCCTAGGAATATAAGGACCTCAACTTGTGGGACACGTTTACCAAGGAGCATTAAATGAAGATGTACCATATCTTGGAGCTAAAGGACAAAAACCCTAATGCTCTTCATACCTTCAACGGCTACATGGTACAACCTCATTAATGGAGCATTTAATGCATGAAGCTCCCAGGTCCTTATCCATTGGATAAAAGGTTCGAAATTTCATCTCCCTCCAACGGATGAATTTTCATCACCTATATAAACTCACCTTCATCAACTAAGAAGGTGCTTGTTCAACTTTCACTCGATCTATATACTTGCAGAAGCTCTTAAACGCTCTCAGTTCTCTTAAGCTTTTGTGAACCAGTGTTAAGGTGCTAAGATATTTGAAGAAGTTCATTGATCATCTTCTTACACCTTAAGGAAGTCTTGCCATTTGTACGAAGAAATCATCTCACACAATCAAGACTTCATCAAGTTGGAGAAATCAGAAATCATTTTCTACCAACCTCAACTCTGAAGAAGAAGTTGATAAAGGCGGAGTAAACTCGAGGAGTTGAAAAACCTACGAAGGCTGTCCGACTTAGTGATCAAGGAAGTCTTTGTGTAATTGTACTAACGAGTGATAGTGCAATCCTTCCATAAGCTGTGGAAGAAGAGTGGAGTAGGCAACGTTAGCCGAACCACTATAAAATCTCTTGTCCCTTTATCTCTTTACTTACGCATTTCATTTCTGCATCATATTGTCCTCATCATCATTACCGAAAGTTCTCTTTTCAACGTAAACTCGTGCAAAGCAAATAATCGAATCTGACATATCCGCTGCGCCAAACCACCGAAAGGTGATTTTTGGGGTAAAACACAAAAAGAGTCTATTCACCCCCCCCCCCCCCCCCTCTAGACTCTCACTACACTCTATCGGGACCAACAAATTAAACACCACAAAATGACATAATTAAATATAATAAAAGGACTTCAATAATTTATTAGTAGTCATCATCATAGCCATGGTGACAATCATGACAAGTGAAAATTACAAATTTATGCATATTGTGAGAACATTGAGGGCACTTCAGATCTTGTGATATTTTATCCAAAGTTAATGGATATTCAAGAGTACAACAAGAATGTTGATCCTGCGAAAAAGCAAGCTTCTCATGACAATCTTTGAATGCTTGGCTGAAACCTTTGTTGCATATATTGCTCTTCCACTTTTGGTACGCATTCATCACCCTCATCATTTTGTCACCTAAGTCACATGTTATTACTTCTTCCCCTTTGCTTAACAAAACCCACGCTCCAAACGTTGTGTTTTTAGCTTCGTAAGGTAGTAACTTTTGAAGTCCAAGAAAATTTCTGTCCTCATCTTCAATATGACAAGTCTTATTTAAATAATTAATTCTTGATAGGAATTCACTTCGAAGTCGTGTCCAAAACCACAAATACTCTGCATTATTAGAACTAAGTGCATAACCACCTATATTTTTCACAAGTGACTTTGCTTTCTTGTTATTTCCAATGTATGCAAATTTGATATCCAATATAATTGGATTTCGAAATTGACCTACTTCACTTTAGTTGCCAATTCTTGAATACATTTAGCGTCATTCCCTCCGCAAAAGAAAATATCATATTTTATTGCAGTCTGTTTAAAAACAAAAATAATAATAACAATTATTGCAAGGTCATAAAATGCCCATCACAAATAAAAACTTAAATCAAGATGTTCAAATAATTTTTTTTTGTTAGGGTGAGGACAATATGCAATTTAAAATCAATTGTTTACTTATTCCTTTCATATTAGCTATTGTTGTTTCATTTATAGCGAGCTAAGTGCTTGAAAATGGACTTAACCAATTTTCTTTCCAGTAATCTATGTTATAGGTGTCTGAACCTGGATAGCCCAAAACCAAAAGTAGAAGTCTCCTGGAGTCGTCTTTACCCAAAATTAAAGTTTAAAATTCCATGTCTCTTTATCCCAAATCATTTCTTCATTTTTACTAGTGCGTGTAATTATAGGAAGAATCCTGAACAATAACAAAATAATTATTAATAATAAGAAAGATTACTTAGCTTTTAGACTTCAAACAATATATACCTCAAGTCATTTAATTAGCAAAAAGAACGAGTGGGAGAAACGTACCGAATCTTTTATCCTCATATTAATGTCATTTCTCCAATCATCAATTGGATTTCTTATGCGATTAACCAAGTCACGTTTTCTCTCCTCAATATCATCAATCCTAGAACCAGCACCTAAAGTCATTTCCGTCAACTCTTTTTGTAATAAAGAGATGATATTGTTTCCACTACCAACAGTCAGTGTATCAAATGCAAGGTCTTCTCTCCATGTTAGGATCATCTGCAATGCATTAATATGAACTAGTCTTCCACGACTGTCAAGTGAAATAACAATAGGTTCCCCACCAGGGGCGGAGGCAAATGTATGCCAAGGGGGGCCTATTCCCCAACATTGGGGGATTATTGTTTCAGATAGACTACCATGAAAGCTTAAAGTAATATTTGGAGTTGTGGATTTATAGATATTATTCTAGTTTGGTAGAAAATTAATTTTATACAGCTTATGGAGAATTAGTTTGCTGGAAGGCTTTGTCTATTCCCCAACATTGGGAGATTATTCCCCAATATAGGGGAATTGTTTGTTTCATTTGAAAAATGATTACACAGCACGTGAGATTCCAATTTTCCCAAACTTATATGCAAAAGTGTGCTAGAAAATTAATATATATATATATATATATATATATATATATATATATATATATATATATATATATTTGCACAGTTATTTGCATGTGGTTCACAGCCTTACAAAGGTTCATAATTACATATATATTCATGTTGAACATGATTTATGTAATTAATATTCTCCTATGATAAATATATCATTTAATATATATTTTATGTAAAATAAGTTTTTAAAACTACTACTGAAAATTTCCATTAAACTTCTCCATCAGTCATATTTGCATTATAAATATTTTGAAGAAACATTTGAAAAAAAAAAAAAAAAACGATGCAAACATTATCTTGATATATCACAGTTCTACAATTCTACTGGAAATTCTTAAATAAAGCAATTTAAGAATTTCATTCATCTTCTTGTATCCCATAAGATTAAAAATAATAATGTTGAGAATATTGATGTGGGTGAAAAACTATATAATAAGAAGAATTTTATGATATATTATAACATGTTTTGTAAAAAAATTATAAATGATAAGAATCAAAATTATTAAATGTTTATAAGGATGTATTCAATTTAGAATTTCAATGACGCTGAAATATTTATATTCCTACTCATATATTACTTAATAAATATTTAAAATTAATTATTTTTACCACTAATATATTAAATTAGTATGTCTAAAATAAATAATTACAATCATGTTCCTAATGAGATTTGGACAATTGCCCTTAATTTCACCACTTTTTTAAAATAGAGGAACTAAATTAAACAGAATAAAGGTACAAAGACTAAATTGAACAAACATTATAGTACAAGGACTTCATAAGTACTCCGACCCGCTGGATTACACTCTAATCTTATTTCGCTCCATTTTTTCCATTTTGCCTCTTGAAATTGTCCTTTTTACCTACAAACCGCATCATTGCTTCCTTAAGCTCCTCCCTACATACTATCTTATCCACTAATTGACCAATCTAAATGCACCCAACCCAATACTAGACCCAAAATGGACAAATAATGCAGAAGAAAAAGAGACAAATTGAATAGCCAGGTGGTGACAATAATTGTTTGTATTTTTAAATGTTCAAAAACCCCATATTATAATTGGCAATATTATTATGGCATACTAAGATAGATTTAGAGTCTGTCCGTTTAGCTCTACAGATAACTGATCTATCAGAAGCAACAACAGAAGGACTGACACTGAAGATCTGATTTAGGAAGCTGGTTTCTTAAAAGGATTACGCGGTATTATCAGACTCATATGAAAGATGATCAGCGTATATTCTCAAGAAAGGTATGGACCTAATCTTCTGATATTACATTCCTCTTTTATAGTCCTACCTTCTACAATCAAAGACATCTATGGAGAGTGGTTATTGAAGGATCTATAAGTACCCTTACTTGAAGAGGATTAGGGTTACGCCGAAAGTAAGAAGAAACACTTCATATCTGCTATATGAGACTAGGTCTTTGATTGTCATGTATCTTCTCAATACAATATGTTCACGGTGATTAAGATGATGAACTTGAGGAGAGTTACTGCTGCTTAAACGAAAGGACATTGTGATTACACTGTTGTGGGAACAACTTTATAGAGTGTCATTGAAGTGGACTGCATCAGAGTGGGCTCTCCAAGTGAAGGGATTTCATTGGACTTCTGTATGCATGGCTCTCCATCTTCATCAATCCACTAGTCCTGTGTAGACTGGGTTTGAA